ATTCCGAGTGTATGGTTGATTCGATGAACTGAGGATTATGCGTGAAGTTCGGAGGATAGTCAGCTCAAATCAATAAAAATACCACAGGAGTTTTGCAAGCAGATATACCGACATTCCAGTGGAGACGAAATGAGCGAAACGAGGAGGGAAAAAGCATTGAACTCCAAAACTTCATACCCAGTTGAGTAGCCTTACACTTTCCTTTGTCCGTTGGAAGCGGATCAAATATGGAGCGAGAAGACTTGTTTGCATGCGAATCAAACAGAAACGAAGTGAAAAACTGGACTCAGTTCCAGAATGGGAACGGGAGGTAGATCGTTGAGAATGAGAAAGATGTGACTAGATAAAGAGATTCTAGTGTGCATAAATCGCGCGCGACCGCGCGAGAAAGAGATCACGTGATGATGGTAAACGTGGCTCATAGTGACTTAGACATGACCTCCGAAGACAGTTAACGAGTAGTGGAGAACAATAGAGGGAGGACTCCGTGTTAGACAAACGATGATACGATAACAGATTGTTCCGTGGTTAGCAGTCTCAAGTTAAGTATGAAGACATTATTCAACATATGAGAAAATCATTCCACGTTATTCAAATTATATTCTATTGGTAAGTAATAGAACACAGAAGTCTCATTTATATTTGAATTGTAAGTTCCAACCACACCAAGTCAGTCGACCCTTTCGTACTTCATCTATAAAACGGTGTCGCTTGGTCATCCGCTGAGCGATGATTTAAACAAATAACTTTGATGAATTCCATAGAAAACTTACAAGGACAGGCAGTTAACATACTGACTAGTGTATTTCATTTACCTTTGGGAGTTGGATGGTGGAAACACGTGTGAACAGATCAGCCCCGTAGTTCAGTCGGTAAAGCGTGCACCTCAATAAAGTGTTTTACAATCTAAGCTGAAACAAATGGAGTTACTACAGCCCACCCTATCAATAAGAAAACCATCAGTAGGCAAGTAGAGTGGGAGAATTATAACCAGATGAAAAGGAACCCCCAAAGGATGAATAAAATAACCTAACAGTCTGACTAAAGAGGAAAGCTTTAAGTAACAGTTATTTTTTTGGAGGGGAGGGGGGGGCGGCTGAGAATAAGCAATTAGACTTGCTCGAAATGCAGCGAGATTGTACATCATCAACTGGCCTTGCATCTGGAGACATGTACTTGATAGTGGCAACAAACGCATTGAGGGGAAGGATTGCATCTCGAAGTACACGTGTCATTCACCCATTGGTGAGACAAAATTTTCCTCGCACATTCGTACATTTCGTAATCAATTCTGGCATTAAAATAATGCTTAACCATGCAGTAAATGATACTGACGGATAAAAATATTCTAGTTTCTAGGAAAAAATGTTTGACGGATTGGGTCGAATACAGAAAAACAGGCAAAAACGTAATTCACGGAATGGTCAACGGGTGCAATGATGAAGTAGAGAACAAAAAAGAATTGTGTTTAGGTAGATCTTTTAGTCTTGTTTGAAGATAGTTTATGAGATGCAGTCAAAGGTGAACAGTACAAGAAGAAAGGCATCCGCGGAATGTGTGTCTAGTTCAGTGTGATCTAGTACGAAGCATGAGAATGAGTTCTGATTGGAATCGAGTTCCAAGAATGTTGCTGTCTTTCGTCTTCTCTAGTTATCAAGTTGTGAGGTATCAGCTTCTTCAATGGTTTGGAATACAGTACAATTCATGCCACCAGTTTAAAATTCAGACGTCTCAGATACAGTCAATCTCCTGCTATGTCGCCACCCTGAGAATTTGCATTTTCCAATATCTTCCCACATTTTAGAAAAGCCTAAACAACGGTGGGCGTAATCACCTAATTTTTGACTATACACTGCTCCCCCCCCCAAAGTGTTGCATTTCGCGATACATACTCAGTTGGTCGTTGACCGATGTTCGGGAAGGCTATCGACCAATAAACTTGGAATGGCGTGTTCAGTCGATGACGCGATCATGACAAAGTTCACTGATTGGATAACTCTTTCAAGGAATGAACACAGACACCAACAATCGGAGATTGTCATTCGATGGCACAATGTGTTGCCTTTGATTGAAAATGAGCAACATAGCATTAAAGCCGAAGTGGTCATTTGCATGGGCATGCGTTTGGTGTCTGTACATCCGAACAAACTGACCAACGTTTTCATGAAAGCTGGATGTAAGCCCACATGGACTCAGCCGAGGATCCAGCCACCGGGGGATAATTGCCAGCTAATTGGGGTCTTTGCGCACTAATTGTCTGTCACCGGTTTAGAGTTTGATGATGAAGAATCGGACTATTGTATCAAGTCTCTTTTTTCATCATTAGATAGACCCATTTCGACTCAAGCCGGGCTAAAGCAAACGACGATTTAAGATTTTTCTAAAAATACATCCTTGTAATCTACAAAGGTTTTCTTTGTAATTCTCTGGGGCACTCGAAGGTGATCATTTTTGTTACGGTAGTCACCAAAGCCATTCGCTCTATCGATGTCCTACGTCGCACTAACGTGCAATCGGGTGAACGAAAATTGCGATTGATTATAGTAAGCGGGTGTATGGAGTACGATGTCAGATCCAAGTGATCGATAAACGCTGTCGCACGGACGCGCCTGTGTAAATGAATGAACGATAATCGCAGTTGTCCTTGCTATAGCACTGATGAAATTAGACAGGTCGTTGACCAAAAGTCACCGTAACGTGGGTCTCATGAGCTCCTGACTGTTTGAGTGATACACTTTTAATTCGTGATTCAAGTTATGGCATCATGCGTTGAACTTATTCCGTCATCAAGACTGACCATAATGAATGTACCCATGGGTTTCAGCATTCTCAGGCGACAACAAGAGCGAATAAAAGAATGGGTGTTTACATACGCCAATGGTACACAATTTTCACCAGAAAATCATGGATGAATTGCACAGGTAAAAGTTTGTAATACGGGCGAGAAGTCAATTCACTAAGTATGCCCTGTAACATGTATTTCACTTGTTCTAGATGACGTGGTTTCCTTCGAGTGCGATTTTTGTTCCCCATTCTCACTCTTTTCAACCTGATTTATCCTTGGTTTCTTTGTAGGTGTCAATAATGGTGCTATGTGAATAGTATTGGTAAAACAGCTGTATGATATGGTGGACGCCATGTACGCCATGTGTCTAGCGCAACAGTGCAAATGAAAGGAATTAGTATGCGGTAATTGGGTTACAAAACATTCCCCGGAATAAACAGATACTTGGAACTGAAAAAGAACTGAATACCGGTGTACTGTACTAATGTTAAGCTACAGGGCATCATAAGAGATTTCATTTTCTTCGATGAATAAAGACAGTATATTTAAATTCCTTTATAAATCAACAGTTCATAATTATAAACATTGTGAACAAGTAATTAATTAATTAATTAATAGCATCTATTACTAACTGACTTGATATGTTGCAGTTTCTGGAATTAACCCGATTTTTCGAATCTCCAAGCGGTGCCACAAAGCGAGAGATAGACTCTGTGCTTTGTATTTTTATCTTTATGCATCGTGGAAGCTTTTTGTCAACTTTTATTACATTTCCAAATCCTGTACGTCGTATTCATGTTGAACCCTAGAAGCAGTATTTGTAAGCAAGACGCATATGAAATACATTAACCAAACAGCGATTGCGCTGGTTTGCCATTGGAAACAAAGACGAATCGGTTGTTTCTGACGGAAATTTACGAACCGCGACCCATAAAACGTGTTGGACCATTGCTTCGTGCTCATTAGGACTTGTTGGAAGTGTCGTAACTGTCATAACTTGAGGTTCGACCAGTGCAAATTGTGTGCCAAGACTCATACCATCTCTGAGTGAGCTTTATGGTCAACATTTTGAGCGCATAACTTCATGAATTGGATAATGATAAAATCTCGTCAGATATATAAAATGCAATAAACATATGAAGCAAGAAAGAACTCAAAACGAAGAAGACTCCCAGTTGAAGAATAATATCCCTGTTCTAGTGCACTTGAATCAACCCGAACTTGAGTTTTGCCAGTTCAGTTCGGATGTTATGATGACGCATAAATTGTAATATTTGTATTTAGATGAAACCAATAATGAAAAATAGTGCCACACGGATGAGATAATTTGAGGCAGGCAAGATGTTGTCCAGTAATTCGTACGACGCAAGGGAGACGCAACTGCGTTCGGAGGTGAGAATGCGTACTGCATAGTGAAAATATGCCTGCATAGAAGCGAACTGTACACAGATTTGCGTCCGGTAACTGCTTGGGGAAATATTTCTGTTTGGTTGTTTTTTATTGTTTATGTGTGTGTGTGTGCGAATCATCTTAATGTGCGCCGTTGAAAGTCTGCTGCGAAAATTTTCCCTGGTGGCGGGGACAGTTTACGTGTTGACCAAATTGTGTTGCCTGTTATGTTCATGTTGTTCGGGTATCGACTCATCTTTATCCAGCATGCATTTCAGTGAACTTTACACCTACTAGTGTAGGTTGCTTTGTTCGGAGCGGAAACTTGACTTGCATAGTTGGCGAAACCAATATTGTCTAATTTTTCTACAGTATTCCTTGATTTATGAAGTACTCAGGGTAATGGTACAGTACAGGAAGTGTGTGCAATCATTTCCAATGGAAATGGTCAATCATTTCAGGGTCAGCTAGAAAACGCAAGGCATGCACCAGCCAACAGAAATGGTTACTGTTTCTACAGACACGCTCGAACAACCCAGTGTACCACGATATCCTAATGCCTCGGTTGTATTATTGTCATTTTTGTCATCTCAATGCGCGAATCAAGAGATATATAGGTTATTAACTTAACTGAGCATGACAATTCAAATGGAATGTTTTTGCAAGCAAATTTCTCAGATCTATGAACGCAACGCTGTCCTTTTTTCAAACTCGTTTCAAGCATCTGAGCTCCCCTGTCTTATCATTAGAGTTAAGGGTACTAAAATCTTAGGAAATAATCGAAATCTGAACATTATTATTTCACATCAAAATGGCAGAGGCTATGGCTTAATTTGCTTTGTCTGATAAAGTCAAAGTCAAAGTTTATTATGGGCGATTTAACAAAGGTAAAGCTTATCATGCCCCATCGGATTTTTACAGAATATTTTGAATAACTTCATAAGGAGAAAATAGTAATAATAACAGTATGCATGATCATTCACGGGTGTCAAAATTTTGAGTGTTCCAATGCTTTATCAAGTTGCAATTTAAATAGTTCAGCTATAGAAGCACACACTACATCGGATGGAAGAGAACTCATTACACCGCACACTCTGCAGACGAGTGACGCCGGCAATCAAGGTAGCTGTTCTGGGTCTTTACCTTTAGTGGATGTCCCCTGAAGTGATCACTTGAATATAAAGTTAGCATAGAACGGCAAGGGTGGTTGGGTTGATGCATTATGTAAGGACAAAATAAACCAGTCAGAATCAATGTACGGTAATCCTGTGCGTTCTCCGATTCGACCCTTCACTGAATCAATGCGCGTGCACTTTTGATGAGTTCCAACAAGTTCGAATTAGCTGTTCTACAGCTTTTCAATTCCCCTTTCTTACTGTTCTGCGAAGTTTGTTGAGGAATATCTTCAATCTGAATGAAACTGTTTTTGTCAAATTTATCATTGCTCAGTTACGAGAAGTAAAATTTCATCAATAGTTCTTAAAAAAAGTAAAATTGTTTTGCCAGAAAAACAATCAGTTACCTGGGTCAATTCGATAGTGGTTTCTTTAAAGCTTGTCGGCAGATTGGGCAAAACATCTTGTAGATCTTCTAACAAAATATTTGCAACCACCGGAACTTCTTTCGGGATCTGTAAAGGTGCTGGGCGCGAACTGGTCAGACTGAAAGCACTTGGAGTGGCACGTCCCATGATGCTCATCTCGTTGTATTTCGATGAAGCGACAACTGGGACCAGTTGTTTCTNTTCTGTTCGTCATGTGGGACAGGTACAATTGCTCTATTCCAGTTTGGATCAGTCAGTCGAATGGCCGCGTCCCGTGGACTGAGTGTAGGTGTTTTCTTTCCCTGGGTCGTTATTTGTACTTGTACGCGCTTGCGTACTCCTTCTTCTATTAGATAGATGGTTGATTCGGGGTCATCTTGCTCTGCAGCAGCTGAGGCAGCTAATTCCTCCAGTTCTTCGGCAATCAGGTCAATGGAGGCTGTCCCATGAAGCAACTGACCCCGATCAATCGGTGTATTAGGAACTATTGCTCGTTGACCGCTGGTTTCCGATGCACCAGAGGACTTGATGTATCCATTAAGACGACTCTTGTTTGCTCTCAAAGGAACCTGTTTGGAATCGTAAGTGGTCTTGTGTTAGATGAGGTTTGGAATAATCTCTGTGAGACATAAGTAGGAAGTCAAAGAGATTCACAAGTGACCGAGTATGGAAAATCGATTCAGATAGCTCGGGTGGACTGATATCATCTTCGCCTGTTCTGGCGAATGTTCGCAATTTCTTTGCTAACGTTTCACCTTCGCCAGCCTAGGTGAAATATACTGTGCGCAGGTATCCAAAACAGAATGCAATGATCACACGTTACGGATCCCTAAGGCGCTTATCTGAACCCTATTGAACTTATTTAAAAAATACAATGTAAGCCGTCTCCACAAACGTTCTGCACATTTCCGGTAAAATGAAGTTTTTCCAGAAAAACTTGTTCCGTAATCACCGTGAATTTTGCAAAGCGTTTAAAAACCTATTGATGGAACTGTGTGCCAAATAAATCGTTCCGTCCATCGAATTCTTTCACATGATAGAAGGTCCCCACGGATTAGGGAACTGAAACTGTATGAGTGCAAAACGATTTCGGAAATGGTTGAATCCAGTCATCTTGATCAGGACGTTTGGAAGATTAAACGACTGCCGGTTTTTCGCTTCCCAGCGAGCACGGAAATCTTCACTTCAGAATGACCAGGTGATTCAACGTGACGCCGCTGTCACCACCACAACCACCACCACCACCACCGATGTTCCCCAATTTTACAGACAGACTTAGACTTCATCTTTGTTCCTAAATTGCAAATTGAATAAAATAGTTAGATATATTTCCAATGAACAAAAAAGAAATGAGTTCAATAAAAAAAGCAAACACTGGATCAGTCTTCGAACAGTTTTGGCCCTCTACACAGGTCTGTATTCACCAGACTTCTGATCTTCTGCCTGGGAAACGACTCAAACCAACAAATAAACTCTATTGGTCATAAAAAATAACCATGTTAAAATGATCAGAATAAAGCGAGTGAAATTCATGATACCAAACCTTGCATATTAAAAATCACGTACCTTCCGTGCTTGTTCCGATGCTGTTGGTAAGTTTTTTCTAAATTTGATATCAGCCGGTTTTTGTGTCATAAATACAGGCATCGTTCGGCGACGCGTTAAACCCGGACCACTGGTGCTGGTATCCGCAGGTTGCTGATTCCCGCTTGCTGGTTTTGCACCGTCCTGATTGGCTCCTGCCTCTGTTGGCTTTCCTGAGCCTAAACCTGAAATAGTTGTCGGTTTGGCAGTTGGCAATACACCGGGAGATGTTGGTGATTGTGCACTGGTCTGAGCA